ACACACAACAAGGTCTGTAAACTTAGAAGATCCTTATAAGGGCTCAAGCAATCCCCAAGATCCTGGTTTGAGAGATTCACAAAGGTAATCAAGAGGCATGGGTATTCTCAATGTCAAACAGATCATACTCTATTTGTTAAACACTCGCCTGCAAGAAAACTTGCTGTCCTCATTGTATATGTCGATGACATCATTCTAACAGGAGATTATGAGGAGGAAATAGGTAATATCAAGAGTCTCCTAGCTAAAGAATTTGAAATCAAGGATCTTGGGAATCTCAAATACTTCCTAGGCATGGAAATAGCAAGGTCAAGAAAGGGAATTTCTGTCTCCCAAAGGAAATATGTTTTGGATCTCCTAAAAGAGACTGGAATGCTTGGATGTAAGCCTGCTGATACTCCTATGGATTCAACAACCAAACTAGGAGCTAAGGAAGATGGTACACCCGTGGATAAAGGCAGATATCAAAAACTAGTTGGTAAACTTATATACCTATCTCACATCAGGCCTGATATTGGTTTTTCTGTCAGCATGGTAAGCCAATTCATGAATAACCCAAATGAAGAACACATGGAGGCAGTCTATAGAATCCTAAGATACCTGAAACTAACACCAGGTAAAGGATTATTTTTTGAGAAGAACCAAAAAAGAGATATTGAAGTATTCAGTGATGCAGATTGGGCAGGATCAGTACATGATCGACGGTCAACTTCAGGATACTGTACTTATGTATGGGGAAACTTGGTTACATGGCGAAGTAAGAAGCAATCAGTTGTGTCAAGAAACAGTGCAGAAGCTGAATTCAGGGCAATGGCACATGGCATCTGTGAAGGAATATGGCTTAGAAGGCTTCTGAAGGAATTAAAATTTTCAGGAGAGGAACTTATAAAGATGTTCTGCGACAATCAGTCAGCAATCAGCATTGCTAAGAACCCAGTGCATCATGATAGAACAAAACACGTGGAGATTGATCGACATTTCATAAAGGAAAAAATAGAGGAAGGGATAATCAAGATGATGTATGTGCCTACACGTCTCCAAACAGCTGATATCCTTACTAAGGCTCTGCCAAGAAAGATTTTTGATGATCTGAGTTCTAAGCTGGGCCTAATAAATATCTATTGCCCTGCTTGAGGGGGAGTGTAGAATTATTGGCAGATTACATA